CTGAAGAATGACAAACTGGAAGCTAGCTATAGTGTTGAAGGTTAACTGCAGGGCATCTGAAAACCTCATGCAAAGATCAGTTGTTTAAAGCATTCATATGTAACGTAGAATGACTGTCATTAGGGCAAAATCAGACTGCGCAAAGCTACTCTGCTTAACCAAAACTGGAGGAAACTGAGAAACTTCAGAAGTAACAGCCTGAACTAAGTAAACTAAGCCTGAATGCAGATAAAATCCAATAGAAATTAATGCAAAATCATTCTTTCTATTTGAACTATTCATAGGCCTTATGAGAAACTTAACTAACTGCATATGTTCAGGAAGGTGGCTTGCTATTGTTCTGTACAATCCCTCTGTAGAATGGGCAAACTTATCCAAAATGCTTATAGAAAATCAGGGTGCCTAAAGTCTGTGACATTACAAGTACTTCAGTAACCAGACATATAAATGAACCCTGAGGCATTCATAACAGTGCCTCTCCATGTGGATTTTCTGATGTCTGTCTAGGATGAAGTTACACTCCTGCAAGGATACTATTGTCACTCATTTTTGTTTAGCTTTATATTTTTGAGACTCACTTTGCTTTCTTCAAGTGACTGAAGTTGACCCATAGACTCAAAAGTTATTAAGGGGACCACAGAGTCCTATATAAAATATGACTACCTAAGATTGTTTCTTTAAGAAATCAAACAGTGCTATTGTGAAAACAGAAAACATGCCACCATTTTAAGTACTGTATTCTGATCACCTCTTCTCCTAACAGAGTTCAAAGACTCAGTGATTTACAAGGTAAAATAACCTGTACAAGATAAGCGTTTGAAAAACATTTTCTCTAGAGGTGAACAAAAAAGAAAGGACATGATAAAAGTACAAATCATTTCTAATAGGGAGTAAGGAGATCAGGAATTTTCTTCCCTATTAACAGAATGCACAAGCAAACTTTCAAAGGAGTTGAATGACAGTAAATTGAAACCTAAGGTTTGCCTTCAGAACTCCCTGTCATGAGCTGTAACTATATTTGAAGCTCTTGTGATTTAAAAAAAGGCATAGCATTTCAAAAAGAGCAAAACTATTTGCCTTACCAAAAAAAAAAAATCAAACAAACAGCATATAGAAACAGAGACAAATCTAATGCTAAAAAGAATAAACCAGCTTCTAAAAGTCAGAAAAACAAACTTTAGGATTAAATTGTCACAGATGTCTCAACAAGAATTTTTTACGTTCGTTTGAAGCACCTATTTCTGGTCAGCTTCAGAGCTATACTGTCAAAAAGCAAAGACTTATTATTCCTACAATGTGTCAATGTGCCAAAATGCCAAGATCCTGCATGAGACTCCAAGCAAATATATGCTGCCTTATAGAATCATAGAATCATAGAATCATTAAGGTTGGAAGAGACCTCCAAGATCATCGAGTCCAACCGTCAACCCAACACCACCAGGCCCACTAAACGATGTCCCTAAGTGCCTCATCTACACGTTTTTTAAATACTTCCAGGGATGGTGACTCAACCACTCCCCGGGCCAGCCTGTTCCAATGTTTAACCACTCTTTCAGTAAAGACATTTTCCCTCACATCCAATCTAAACCTCCCCTGGTGCAACTTGAGGCCATTTCCTCTCATCCTATCGCTAGTTACTTGGGAGAAGAGACCCACACCCACCTCGCTACAACCTCCTTTCAGGTAGTTGTAGAGAGCGATGAGGTCTCCCCTCAGCCTCCTTTTCTCCAGGCTAAACAACTCCAGTTCCCTCAGCCGCTCCTCATAAGACTTGTTCTCCAGACCCCTCACCAGCCTCGTTGCCCTTCTCTGGACACGTTCCAACATCTCAACATCCTTCTTGTAGTGAGGGGCCCAAAACTGAACACAGTATTCGAGGTGCGGCCGCACCAGTGCTGAGTACAGGGGCACTATCACTTCCCTGCTCCTGCTGGCCACACTATTTCTGATACAGGCCAGGATGCCGTTGGCATGTTGGCTCATGTTCAGCCGGCTGTCGACCAACACCCCCAGGTC